ACGTCTTCAGGAACTTCAGCAATCGCTCGATGCGGCTCAATCGAAACTGGCGGCACTGGAAAAGCAGAAGTCGCGGCTGGCCGTTGATACGGAAGAGGCTCACGCCGAGGCGGAACGTCACCAGACGCAAATCACGCAAATGGAGAAACGACAGAAGCAATTCGATCGTATCATCGACGAGTGGAAGCATAAACTGGACGATGTGAATCAGGAGCTGGACGCAGTGCAACGGGACGGCCGAAACTCGTCCACCGAGCTCTTTAAGGTGCGTTCGTCGAATGAGCAGTTGGGCGAGCAGGTGGACGCGATGCGACGTGACAACAAAACACTCGCCCAAGAGATCAAAGATCTGCAAGAGCAATTGACAGACGGCGGCAGATCAGTGCACGAGCTGCAGAAGGTGGTGAGACGTCTGGACATCGAGAAGGACGAACTGCAGCGAGCGTTGGATGAAGCGGAAGCGGCGCTCGAGGCCGAAGAGAGTAAGGTGGCCAGATCACAGGCGGAGGTCACGCAGATCCGTTCCGAGATCGAGAAACGCATTCAGGAGAAGGATGAGGAGTTCGAGAACACCCGCAAGAATCATCAGCGCGCGTTGGATTCAATGCAAGTGAGTGGTGACTCTTGATGTTGACTGTTTTGTTTTGAGATTATTAATTAGGATGACGACGACGACGATATTTCATTATGCAAAATGGTCGTAGTGAAGTTTTGGTTTTGAAAAATAAGTATTTTGAAATAGGAAAATTAGAGAAGAGTATGAAATTGGCTAAAAGGATTGAACAAGATTAACGCAAGATGTTAAGGTGTGTGTGTGTGTGTATGTTTTAAGGCAACCCTCGAAAGTGAAATGAAAGGAAAAGCCGAACTGCTACGTGCCAAGAAGAATCTCGAATCGGAGATCAACGTGAGTGATTGATTGATTGATTGATTGATTTGGTTATTATTTCGTCGTGGAGTTGATTTTATTGATGACTGACTATTATTATTTCCTAGAATATGGAATATGGGAGCGCGAAAAAAAATTTTTTTGAAGTGAATCGATGAAGTGGTCGATTCCAAGGGGCAAATTTGAGAATTTCAAATTTCAGGATTTGGAAATAGCGTTGGATCACGCCAATAAAGCGAACGTGGACGCTCAGAAGAGCATTAAGAGGCACATGGAGCAGATCAAAGACCTGCAGATGCAGATCGACGAAGAGCAGCGCAATCGCGAGGAATTCCGCGAGAACTACCTATCGGCCGAGAAACGTCTGGCGTTGGCACAATCCGAAAAAGAGGACATTCAGGCGAATATCATGCAGGTGTGGTGATACGTTTGGTGATTTGCGATTGATATTTTGAGTGAGAGTTTAGGTTTGGTTCGGTTTTGTTTCGTTGATTCCTGGTGCGATGGATTTATTTATTTATTTATTTATTTCAGACGGAAAGACTGAAGAAGCAGCAAGAAGCTGAACTGGCCGAATGTAAACAGCAAAGCAGTGAGTTGACGACGAGGAATGCGAACTTGAAAGCGGCTAAAAAGAAGCTCGAAGCCGAAATGCAGTTGATCAGAGTGAGGAGTTTATGGATTTGGGTGTTTGGGTTTGTGATCTGGGGATGTTGGTGGATTTATGGGGTGGATTATGGATGAAATTGCTGGATTTGAAATGGGTTGATATTCATTCAGATATGATGTGTTTCATTGGGAAGTTTCAGGGTGAACTGGATGAGACTCTAAACGAGCTGAAGGCATCTGAGGA